AGAGACTTCCTCAGTCTTGGATGAGAGACGAAACGTTTCTAGATTTTTTTTGCTTTGTTTTGTTTTTTGTTTTTTTGAATGTCCAGAGGACCAGATTGAACTTTTTTGGATTTTTCTACCTGGATTATTGAGCATGCATCAGGATAAAATTAAAAATAACTTCCAGAACAGCTCACAGGGTAAAACAGGATCTTTTTAAAATCAAGCAATTGACTTTATTTGTCTTATGTAGCTGTTAGCTCCCTCTGAGAGAAGGAAGCTTAGACTTAGACCAGGACTGGTGATCTGTGTGTGGAGCTTGAGCTCACGTACTCAGGATAGACTATTGGTGTCTGCAGAAGATACACTTCTTCAAACAAGAGAAAGACCAAAACTGAAGAGTCTGAGAGAAACAAGAGAATCAAAAAGACCGATTGTGTTTGGTCAGATGAGAGCGGAGCCACATTCATGTCTGTTTGACACAACACCTTGATCAGCCTACGAGCTGGTCATATGGCACTTTGACACATCGATTCTGCACCACACTATTTAAAGGCCTGCCCACTTCCAGTAGCATTCCCATTCAGCTGAGTTTATGGGACCATCTTGTTAGTGGTTCCAAGTGAACTGCTCTGAGGTGACAATTTTGATGTAAGCAGCAGCCATTAAATGGCCAGCTGAGTTATGTCACTGGATGACCCGCCCAGCAGTGCAAACTACATCTGAACCACCATTTCCTCTCAGGTCATTGTAGACTGTGTGTTAGTTTGTGTTTTCTAGTTTTCTAGTTTCTAGACCAGTATGGAAGCTCCAAACACAGTGCCATGGACCAATGACAAGGTCTAGACCTTACTGTCTTTATTGGTGAAGCAGAGAATTCAGCACGAGCTGGACAAAGCTTCAAGAAATGAGTGAATTAACCACAAGTTATCAGAGAAGAGGGCGGCACGGTGGTGCATTTGGTAGAGCTGCCACCTCTCAGCGAAAAGGTTGCCGGATCACAACCTAGCTAGCAGTATTTCTGGGTGGAGTTTGCATGTTCTTTCTGTGCATGTGTGGGTTTTCTCCAGTACTCTGGTTTCTTCCACACACCAAAAACATGCATGTTAGGCTGATTGGTAACTAAACTGTCCCTAGGTGTGAGTGAATGATTGTCTCGTTTGTTTCTGTGTCCCTGTGATGGTATGGAGACATGTCCAGGGTGTTTCCCACCTCTCACACAGTGACTGCTTAATATGGGCACCAGTGACCCCATGACCCGAAAAGGAAGAAGTGGGTTAAAGATAATAGATAGATGGATATCAGAGATGATGGTGCAGCAGACCTTTATGAAGTGACAGGAGAATCTAAAAATATGTTTTTAAGTCAGATTACAGTTACGATGTCCGCTCACTTTGCATTACAATCACGCTCAAAGAGTGGGGAAATAAGTCACAGTGGCAAATCACCTACACCTGAGAAGACCCAACAAGGTGAGAACCGACTCGGGTTGGGCGGCTATGGTAGAGTGGTTAGAGCAGTCGTCCTCCAATGCAAAAGTTGGGTATTCGAATCCACCAGCAGCCACATGCCGAAGTGTCCCTGGGCAAGACACTGAACCCCTCATTGCCTCTGATGTGTGTCCCATCGGTGTATGAATGTGATAAAGCTCTGATTAGTCTCTTTAGAATGATTTGTTCAATTAACTTTGTAAGATCTAGTAGAGTGCTGTATAAATGGGTAAATGAGGACACAGATTGTAGTGTAAAGTGCTTTGAGTATCTTGAGCAGATACAATGGCACTATATAAGTACAGTCCATTTACCATTTTACCATTATGTTTATCAATGGCAAAGCAGCTTTAAAGAGTCAACATGTGCACACTCGGTGGATCTGTTGAACATGGACCAGGAGCTGCTGCAGAGACTTTCATCTCTTTATTAAAGAATCAAGTGAAACACAGGAGGAAGCACAGGCTGAACTTCTGTGTGTGTTCCCAGGATCCACAAATATCCTCAGCTTGGTTTGGTTTGCTTTCATCTGCCGGATGCTGACATGAGGTTTTAATGAGCGCTGTGTTGTTAGCATCATTAGCACTAATGCTTATTATTTATTTAGTGTGTGGAAAGACTCGGTGCGCATCACTGAACACACACGGCGGTCATTCTGAGCCTAATCTACACTCTGTAATCATGTGTTTCTGGGAAATGAACAAACATTGTTTTTTGTCTAAACAACACAGAATCAAATTTAAAAAAATCCTCTTTTGATGTTTCTCTGAGTTTATTTTTAACTGTGGTTGTTATTGAACGGTTCTTCCATCTCTCCATTTCACAACAGCATCTCTGAAATAATTCTGGATAAAACTGCGCAGCTCTCCAATAAAATCCAAATATTTCCTGGTGTTGTGTGCTAGAGCGAGGCCAGAAACTGTGCGGGCCCCGAGGTGAACATTAATCTGCGCCCTCTGACTGTGACGGTTCAGCAGAGAGGCTGATGTGGAAGTGATGAGGTTACGGAGCAACAGAAGAGCCGGAGCTGACTCACATTTCTGACCATTTTACGCTCGGATGGGAAAAAAGAAAGTCCACCTCCTTCAGCTCTGGGCTTTGTGGACAAAATAAAATTGATCCAGCTTTTAAAATGATTCATATCTAACCTCATTAAAAAAAAACACAGCAGATTTAACCTTAACATTATTTATTACACGGAAAATAAAAAAGTTCAAGCTGAGAGTGAAAGTCTAGTTTGAGCCTTCCTGCTTCCACAGGAACTCAAGAGATCCAGCATCGGCCAGATGCTGATGGTTTTCTGATCAACATCAGCATGACCACCTCTACATGGAGTGCCCATGGTGTGTGTTAACACAATACCAAGATGGAAAGACATCAACACTAACCAGTGTGAAGCAGCCGTTGCTGTTCACCAATCTGGGAGATGTCAAAGGTCATTTGGAGTCCATCATTCTAGAGAGAGGAACTATTTCAAACAGCTGAAAATATCAGATTTACCCTAAAGGGCAGACAGTGCAGTGCTCAGAGAAAAGAGCTCAGACTCATGATGGTTTGGAGTCCTTAAGTGGACCATGACTCCTCTGTTGACCAAAGAGGGTTCTAGAGTCAAATGTGAGTCCATCTGTCCAACAGCTGAAGCTTGGACCAAACTGGGTCCAACAGGACACAGATCCCAAGCACATCTGCTGATCTACAGCACAGTGGTTCAAAAAGAAAGGAACCAAGGTCCAGTTGGAGATCAGAATCTCAATCTGACTGAAATGCTGTGGTGGGACCTTCAGAGAGCTGAGCAGAACCTCAAAGAAGGCTAAAACTCCTCCAAAACCACGAGAAAGTCTGATAAAGTCCTAAAGGAAACCACAGAGTCCTGCTGCTGAAGGACTTTCAGTTGGGTCAGGAACTGGAAACGGTTTAAACTAAAACATGACAGTGAATCATGTTGTGTGTTTTTTTTTTTGTTTTTTTTTTTTCAATTCAGAACAGATTTGGATCATTTTTGGGTAATACCAGTACTTTTTTTTCTTCTTCTTTCAGCTGCTCCCTTCCTCAGCGTTTGCCACAGTGAACTAACTCGCACGAAGACTTGCAATTGTTTTGATGCTGGATGCCCTTCCTGAAGCAACCACAGATCCATCATATCCCTCTGTGTGGAGCAGAGAGCTGCCATCCAGGGTACCCGGAGGAGCAGATGATCAGAGTTAGGAGGGTGGAGGCAGGTGTGGGTGCTTCTCACACCCACATTTTGATGTTGTCAGTATGGGGAGTTGAACCGGCAACATTCCGATCACAGGTCCACCATCTCTAACGTCTGTGCCACCACTCCCCTCACAGTTTGAATACATAATGAGATGTAAAACCCCAGAACTGAAAGAAGGCAGAAGTTTTTGTCTCCAGAACTGTAAAAAAATCAACACGTTTGCAGATTTCATATGTTGCTAGTGATTAAAAAAAGTCCATGTTCTGATCCACTCTCCCCATTTAGTTGTAACCCCAATGCAGAGCAAAATCATGTAATTGAAAATACCCTCCATTCATCCATCTGTCTGTGAATGTTGTGAGCTCGTTAACTTAATAAGTGAGGTACACACTTCCATTTTGGTGTGTGGCTACCTCTTTGCATAAGAACTTGGGTTGCCATGTGAAAATCCTGGATTGGCCACCATCAATGTAAACACTGTGAGCTGAATAATTTTAAAAATATGCAACAGACAAACTTGTTTTTTTGGTTTGTGGGTCCATCTATGCATAAGAAAAGTGCCTTTCAAAAATTGGGTAGCCACATCAAAATCCAAGATGGCCACCACCAAATGTGTAAACTTTGTGAGCTAGATACCTTGAAAAATAAGCAATAAGTTGTGCTTCAAAGATTGTGAACATTTTAGAATTGTCTATATTTCCCTATAAATATGACTTAAAGCATCATCAGATTTTCACATAAGTCCTAAAAGTAGATGAAGAGAACCCAGTTAAACAAATGAGATAAAAATATTATACTTGGTCATTTATTTATTGAGGAAAATGATCCAATACAGTAGTCCCTCGTTTATTGTGGGGGATCCGTACACTGAAGACCTGCAATAAGTGAAAAACCACAAAGTAAGAAGAGTAGTACAAGTAGTAAGTAGTACTTTATTTTAT